TGGTCTGTACCTACCTTTCTCTGCTCGGTGCGGGAAGCACTACCCAAGCTCCTAACACCTGGCATAGGCTCGAAGCAGGCTAGCTCAGTTGGTTGAGCACGTAAGCGGCACTCAGGAGGTCGTGGGTTCGATTCCCAACGTCGTTCTTTCGTCCCCCATGGCCTCGTGGGGGTATACTTCCCTATACAAAAAATCAGGTGAAAAACATGATCGTTGAAAGTGCAAGGGTTTCTGCGCTCAGTCAATCTTACGCAAAGTGAATCGGTCCCTAAGGAAACACCGAATCGCGGATCAGCATGCCGCAGTGAATATGTACTCAGGCCTTCGGGTTCACCAGTGGAGATTGTCGGCTTGGGCCTTCTAGCTGGTTCATAGTTCTATCAATGTCTATGTTTTATTATGATTGATTATGCTTTATCTTATCATTTTAATTTATTTATTAATTAATATTAATACTTATCGTTTGATTATTAGTTTATTTATTTATTAGTTTTTTTATGATTTGTTTGTTGTTTTACTATTCAAAAAGGGATTTTGATCCAAGTTTTTTTGTTTTTTTAACATTTTTCAATAATTGTTGCAAGTTAGGAAACAGTTTATCATGACCATCGGTCCCTTTGTGGATTTCGATTCCGTACGTGGCAGTAACTCCCAGATCGCCTTCCCAGATGCTGTTCTGGCTCCCTGCAGGCAGACGGTTCTGCGCAATCGATCCCAGCATCACAAGTATACGAGTGTCAAGCAGTCGTTCAGAGGGTCAACGATGTGAATTTTGCATCATCGCGAGTGCCCATCGATTATGCCATCATCAGGTCCTATTACTGTTTCCCCAACAATACAACATAATTCAACAGGTTTGTTTAAGATAAAGAGAGAAAAAATGAAAAGAAACTTGCCAAAAGGCCAAAAGCATCTGTGTATTTACTATTTAGTATTGAATATTTTTTACTTAAATAGTTATTTAATATTATTCCCGAAAGAATTCCCTTGGTAATAATTCTCACTTGTTTTTTTCTACGTAGCACCGTGTTCGCATTCGAAGGAGAACGTGAACATGTTCGCCCGAACGCGAACAAGCGCCCAAAACCCTCCGAACGCGAACATAAAAAATATTTAAAAAAAAAAAAGAAAAAAGTTCTCAAAAAATTCTGAAAAAAATATATGTTATGTAAAATAATACAACAAGCAACTTTTGCCTTGGAGTAATGTTCAAATTCTCAGCCAATCATGAGTTAAAAATCAAAAACCGAATATATATATCGTCAAATATATATTTTTTACGAAAAAAAAATATGTTCGCCACCTGTTCACACGAACATGTTTGCGACCTGTTCGCGCGAACATGGAGGGGTGCGAACACGTTCGCCGTGCTACGCATGTTTTTTCTTTCTTGCTTTCTTTCTTTCTTTCTATCACTTAAGTTACTGTTGTTGTTCCTTGTTCTAAACAAGTTATTGTTACTGTTGTTGTTGTTGTTGTTGTTGTTGTTGTTGTTCCTTGATTCGAAACAAGTTACGGTTGTTGTTCCTTTGAAGTTTTAAACAATTTAATTGTTGTTGTTCCTTGATTCACAACAAAGTACGTTTGTTGTTTCTTTAAAGTTTAAACAATTTAATTGTTGTTGTTCCTTCAAATGACTTATGGAGGTATCTCGTTTGAAAGAGTTACTGCGGTTGTTCCTTTTAACAAGTTAAACAAAGGAGTTATTGTGGTTGTTCCTTTCAACAAAAAACGAAAGAGTTACTACGGTTGTTCCTTTTAGCAAGTTAAATGAAAGAGTGATTGTAGTTGTTCCTTTTAACAAGTTAAATAACAGAGTTGTTGTGGCTGTTCATTTTAACAAGTTAAACGAAAGAGTTGCTGCAATTTTTCCTTTTAACAAGTTAAACGAAAGAGTTGCTGCAATTTTTCCTTTTAACAAGTGAAACGAAACAGTTATGTGGTTGTTCCTTTTAACAAGTCAAACGAAAGAGTTACAACAGTTGTTCCTTTGAACAAGTTAAATGAAAGAGTTACTGCGGTTGTTCATTTTAACGAGTTAAACGAAAGATTTGCCGCAGTTTTTCCTTTTAACAAATGAAACGAAACAATTATTGTGGTTGTTCCTTTTAATAAGTCAAATGAAAGAGTTACAACGGTTGTGCCTTTGAACAAGTTAAACGAAAGAGTTATTGCGGTTGTTCCTTTGAACAACTTTATAGAAGTTAATGTTTAAACTTTAAACGAGGCACCATTGGTTTTTCCATTAACGCCAGTTACTGCTATTGTTTCTTTAAAGTTTAAACCTAGGTAGCTAGCACCTGGTGCGCACCGGGGAGAGTACGAGGATGTACTCCTGAGTAGGTATGTACGCATATGTACTTGTACTGTGAGTACGCCAAAATAAAAAGAAAAAAAAGAAAAGAAAAAAAGAAACAAGCAAGGTTTAACTTCAAACTTTAAACAACTCAAAAATCTGAAAAATGAAATGTTATGCAACATAGAAATACAACTTCTGCATATCAAAATTGGTAGTCGAACTCGAGTTAAAAAAAGAAAACAAGTTGGAAAGGAAAAAGAAAAGAAAAGAAAAGAAAGCAAGTACTCACACATATGGGAGTATGTGTGAGGGAGAATTGGGAGTACGTGTACTTGTGTATGTGAAACCCGCGTACACATACTCTGTGCTACCCAGGTTTAAACTTTAAACATGTTGCTGTTGTTGTTCCTTCACATAAATTACGATTGTTCTTCCTTTAAATCGCATGATCGTCCCAGTGCTTTCTATTTTTTTTTCTCCTCTTCTCAACTTTGTTCTTCTCCCTTTGAATCTTGTTATCGAACCCCAGCACCGTTTTTTTTTTTAATCTTTTTTTTTTTTTTTTTGCCTCAATCTCGGAGAATATTTGTATTCACAGGAAAAATCTACTTGTTTCAAGTTGTTTGCTCTTTCGCAAATCCCATTCCCTATTTCGGACAGAGCGAATGACGGTGAAAACAAACAAACAAACAAACAAAACCAAGAAAATCCCATTCCCTATGACTGAGTTGAGTTGACCTGAGTTCGAATCCACATGGAACTACATTAATTTTATTTTGTTATTTTAGAAAAAAAAGCAAATCCCATTCCTTGGCCGTGTTCTGCTCTACTGGTTCGCTCTTGTTCTCTACCTGAGTGTTGCGGTACTCGTTCTCGAGTCGGCACTTCACGTATTGCACCAAGTTGTCAAGCACTCGCACACATCAGAGCACCCATTGAAAACGATGATATTCACACCCATGAATTGTTGAAATGCAGACCTGAGTTTGGATTCAGATGGAACTACATGAATTAAATTCTTAAACAAAAAGAAGAAGAAGAAGTAGAAGAAGAAGAAGAAGAAGCAAATCCCATTCCTTGGACGTGCTGTGCTCTACTGGCTCGCTCTTTTTTCTCGACCGGAGTGTTGTGGTACACGTATTCTCGAGTCGGCACGTCACGTATTTTGCTAATTTAGGAAATCTCCTTTTGCACTGGTGGCATCCAAACTGATGACGAAGCATCTGCAGTATGAAGGCACATATGTTGGCAGCAAGCCCAAATTGTTTTCACCGTTGTGTTGGAACTTGGGATTGAAGGCTCTGGGGTTCAATCCCAGCACCTGTACAACCAGAAGTCTTGAGTTGAGGGAAGACTGAGGAACCATCATTGAAAAAAAAAAAAAAAAAGAGGAACCATCATTGCACTAAGCAGATGGCGTTATCGAACGCATGACCGCAACATGTGTGATGAAAGGTGTGTTGAGGGGAGATAAAAAAAAGGGGGGAAAAGCAAAGGGGAGATAAGAAAAAAGAAAAGAAAAAGGGTGACCGGGAGCCTAAGGGCGGCCGTGTTATTGGACTTGCATGTGGAAACGGAATGGGACGACTGCTCCCCTTTTTTTTTCTTTTTTTTTTTCCCTCGAGTCTCCATAATTGATTTTTTTTTTTTTTTAAAGAACAAAAAAAGGCAAAAACAAAAAGAAGAACTGAGCAGTTTTTGCAGTCAGGGGACGAACCGTACGGCGGCGCCGTAGCGCTCAATGTCGGGGACGCTTAGCGCATCTACCTTAGGGTTTCTCACGTTCGCGGAGCTCACACGCCATGCCTCGGTGCGCATAGCACGGGGAAGGCGGTTTCCTTAGTGTCAACCAGGGAAGTCGAGCAAGAGGAATAGAGCTTGTCCTTAGGCTGGAAGGGGGGAGAGGTGTCGGGCGAGACAATCGTCTTCATCAGAAGCCGTGATACCAAGGCCAGAGGAGGTGGTGTATATGAACTATACGAGCATACCTGAACGGAAGAACACCGGTTGTAAGCGTCCGTCCGATGGAATAGTCCTGATCTTGTGTATTTCCTCCGCACTTTTCAGTTTGGGGATCTTGCTGCGGTGAACAGCAGCAACTTGCAAATAGTGAGTAGAAATTAGGAAAGCCGTAGACCTCTAGGGTTGCGTGTGGAGGGATAGTACGGGGAATCCCCTCGCTTTCTTCGTACTTTTCCATACACGAATGCAGAAGAGGAGATCGTATACAGCGGAGTGCTCTGTTTCCGATTGATTTAGAACAATGCGGATGGAGGTCGGGGTCATATGGGGAAGTAGCAGTAGCGGCGCAGTGGAACGGGTTGGAGGATAAAGAGAGACAATAGTTGGTTATGAGTCGGGGTGAAGGGCTTGAGTAGGGCTGGACTGTGACACAGCTCACCTTCCGGAGCAATGCATCTGGTCGAAGGGCAGCTCGTACTCCTCTCTATTCGACAAGGTGAAAGCAGAAGGTGGCACCGAGATTAATCGTTACCCGGGGATCGACACAGGAGTTTCAAGATCTTCCGGCGATAGAGAGCAGAGGGGTTATCTTCCTACAACTGGGAAGAGAAGTGAGGCAGGAGCGCTAGCAGTTTAAAGATACTTCGAGAAACACTGCTAAAGTGGGCCTCCTATGGAGTTCAATGTGTCATGCCAGAACTGTAGAGGTGAACTAAGATGGACCTGTGTGATAGGCCAGTGCCATCAGGATGACCTGCCTCAAATCAGTGATGGTGAGAATGATGATGTAAATGATGATGCTGACGATAATGAATCATTGGAACCATCTCAAAACGTTGATGATGAAGATGATGATGATGTCGACGATGATTATGATGATGATGATGATGACGACAATGATGATGATGATGATGATGATGATGATGATGATGATGAAGAGGACAATGGTGATATGAGTTGTTGGAATCAGAAGACCAGGGAAGAAAGGGATCTTGGCGGTACAGTCTACTGGGAGAAGAAGAGAAGCAAAGACAGGAGAATGGATTTCAAAGATTTCAACGACATGAACGACCGTGAGCAGGAGGGCGAGGATGATAATGTTGAAAAAGCTCGTAATCGGCAGGGGAAGAGAAGGGATTAGAGAGTTCCTTGGTGCTGCGAGAGAATGTTGTGAGTGTGTGTACGTGTGTGGGTGTGTGGGTGTGTGTGT